ACTTACCACAAAGATCCTCCGAACCTTTTCACGTGAAGATCATTTTATGGTAATATTACATTCAGTTTGAGTAAAACACCAAATGGTACAAGTATATAGCCAAAAGAGATTCCAAATTTTTGGCAAGTCATGGGAATAAAAGAGCAACTTTAGGAGAGATATTGTTGTATAAACAACTCAAAAGCTTTAACCAATACATCTCAACCACCACAATAACCAACTTCACCAACCCTACAATCAAGCCAACCCTTTTCCATCAAAGGAAATAACAAGAGCAGTCGTTCGAAAAAGAACTTGTATCACAAAGACCTCCAGAGATTCCTGACGAAAGTAATTGAAATATTTTTATAAATTGTTAAATATATAATATTTTATAATAACACAACTTATTAATTAAAATACAATGAAATGATTGTATCACGAATTCTAACACATTTTTGAAATCAACAATACCAGTCAAATGTGTCTCTTTGTTTATAATCCAGCATTAAAAGCATCTATTTGTCATAAAGTAAATGTGGAAATAGTTTGTTTTAGTAATAAAAGTTATTTGCAATTTATAAAAATTCAGATTCAAAAATATATTTTTAATGTCGTACAAACCAGTTATCTATTTGTTGTACTTCAAATAAACACTTTTGACTGTAGTTATTTTTAATAAATTTATTATAATTACTCAATTTGTATTTTTTGAAATAGAAATAGGAAAAAAGGAAGTTTTTTGTTTATAAATTTATCAAGTTTGTTTTTGGCTTGTATTTTTTAAATTTGTATAGTTCAAATATAATTTGTATAATTAAAATTTTTTTGTTAAAAACAAAGTTTGGGTATAAAAACAAAAAAATTATCATCTATCCGCCACAATGATGAGTTTTAGTGTGATCAACCATGATAAATACAAACGTCTTCATCTCTGAGTGGCCTTTAAATATCAAAAGACAATTTTACTTTATGAAAATCAGTGACTTAACACTTAATGTTATGTTAACTTTTTGAAAGCAAATAATAATAATAATAATAATAATAATAATAATAATAATAATAATAATAATAATAATAATAATAATAATAATAATAATAATAATAATAATAATAATAATAATAATAATAATAATAATAATAATAATAATAATAAATTATAGTTAATTTATTGAACTTGTTTTTAAAATGAATGAGATTTTTTCCTTCACAATAGTTTTTATTTTCAAACCGAAAATCTATTTTTCAAACATTTAAAAATAATAAAACATAAATGAATTAGCTATAAATTATAGTAAATTAATAAGGACAATTGTTTCGAGGAGCAGTTTCAGGCTTTGTTAATTCCATTGGGAAAGGTTCAAACAGTATTTCTTCGTCATATTTTTCTTTTTCTTTTTGAAAGAATTTTTCAGGACATCTGATTGGGTGTGGGTTTTCCTTATTAGTCCTTGGGTCATAACAAATTCTAAAATCTCTTACTAGGTTTCTATATTGACAAAAGAAGACCGGTTCTTCTCCATACACGTTTTGTAAAATAACTTTCAAGTCTCGAATCTTATACAATTTATTTGTCTTAACTTTAAGTTCACTTTGTTTTAATATCTACCAAGCGTCATAGCTGTTAAATAGATGAATTGCAGTTTTCATGTATTCGATTACCCCGCGTGGTCCGTGATAAATTTGCATTGCACACGTTCCGTGTATGTCAAATTGGTACATTGCATATCCACATTGTTGAAATGACATCCAATTTTGGTGAATCATTTCAACAAGTGGTCGATTTTTGAAAATGATATTTTCTACACGTTTAAAGTCCAGTTTGAATAGGCAACACCTCAATTTTGCATTAACCCTAATCTGAGGCCAAAACCCGTTTAACATAAATCCTTCTTTGACAAAAGGTGTTGTTTTTGTGATGGCACAGTGTCCGCCTTTACACCTATTACCAGGCCAGAATTGAACAAGTGCAATAGATTGTATTTTTCCTTCAAATTTTATATAACTTTTACACATTTGATAATAAGTGAATTCGTTAATCAGAGGAGGATATTTAACAGGTTAAGGCTCTTTTGCTGAACTTTGAACTATTTCTTGTGTCCGAAATCTTTTTGTTTTTCTTTCTTGTCTTTCCCCCTCTCTTTGACTTGGCTTTGGTACAGGGTGTCTTATTGGTTGTTGAATGGGTTGTTGAACTGTTTTTGGTTTAGCTCCTAAATCTTGATAAGCTCCTGGATATCTTAACTGTTGTTGAGGATGTCTAAGTGGATATAATGGTTGAGGAGGCAAAGGTTGCTGTTGTGGTGGAAACAATTGATACTGTTGTTGAGGTTGAAAGGTTCTTGTGAAAGGGATTTGAAAGCCACTCGGACTTGGTTGTGGAGGTAAAGGTACTTGTAAACCTTCTTGATGTTGAACAATAAGTATATTTAGACCAACTTGAGTTGGCTGTTGCCTTGGAACAAAAGGTTGTGATTTTGGATTTAAATGAAATCTTGGACGAACATTTTGTGGAAATAAATTGTACTGACTTTGTGAACGAGAGTTTGAGGGAGAAAGTGGCCTAAAGAAGACATTTCAGGAAATTCTTTTGGTTTTTCCTTTTTATCACCATCTTGTTGTTTTTCTGGTTGGTCAAATGCACATATAAAAGAAAAGAGCAGTACAAAGCTGATCATTTCAAAAATATTTTATAAGTCCAATATTTATTTTAATTGAATTATTTTTCCTTCAAATTGAGGATGAACTTGTTTTTATTTTCATAACATAAAACTTCTAGAAGTTAAAATAATAAAATTAAAAAAACAAAAAGGTATTAAAATTCACAATTATTTCTTGGTGCAGTTTGAGGATCTAAAAGGTAATAGGGAAACTTTTTCAACATTATTTTGTCGTTACAAGATTTCTTTTCGTCTCGATATACTTTTGGTGAGAACTCAATTGGTGTTGGATTGAATTTGTCAAGTTTAGTATCATAACACACTGTGATTGAATATAAATAGATCTTTTCTTTACACATAAAAGGCATAACTCCGTACGCTTCTTTTAACACATTTTTCAATTTTTCGATATTGTACAAATTTTCTGTTTTTACATGTAAATGACTTTCAGAAAGAACTTTAAATTCATCGACTTTTTTTAAATTTAAACGCAACACGAAAAAATCGACCATTTGGACCAATATATATTCTTACAGCACAACTGCTTTGTTTATCAAATTTATATCCAGCATAACAACATTTTTCAATGGACATCAATTGACTCAATACTTTTTCATATACATTTAGAGTGTTAACAATCATTTTCAACCTTTTCAACGACGTGAATGTTCCAACAACAGAATAAATGCCGGTTTGAACTGAATTGCGGCCACAACCCATGAAACCAGAACCCCTCTTTTCAATTAAAGATAAACACGTGTTTTTTTTCTGTGGACAAAAGTAAGTTAATAATAAGTTATATAACACATAATAATAAATTGAAGCAAATGTTTATTTGTTATTAATGTTATGACAGAACAATTAAGCACACTATTATTTGAACAACAATTATGCTCTTACTTTTCGTTTTTTTCTTCTCTTGACAAAAAATAAATAGTTTCAAAGAATAAAAATAATTATAGCAAACGTTAAATAATTTTGGGTTTTGATATTCTAGTTATTGTTGTAACAACACTATCAGTATATCAATATTACGCAAAATTTTTGAGCTTGTTATTTATTTGATTTTTAATGAATGAAGGCTTGACTTTGAAAAAATTGGCATTTTTATATAAGCTTTTTATAATAAGATGCATTTTTGGGATCGATCACATGTTTTTCAAAAACAATTATTTTGTTGTTTCAAAAATTGTATAACATTTTTATGTTTAAATAATCTTCAAGTAAAAAATAATTTTTGAAGCAGAATCTATCCCCTTTTTACTTGGAAAAACAATCGAAATTTATTATAAAATACCACTTTTCAAAAATTATAAACAAAATAAATGCAGAATTTCGGGACACCACAATACAGATTTAAAAAACAGTTTATTAAAAATACGAAAAATAAAAGAAAAAAATACTATTTAATGTGTCTAAGTTTATGGCTTAAATTTATACATCTATAAATTTAAAAATATTAGTGATTTATCAGAACCATTTCAATATTCAATTTTTATGAATAATTTGGGTGTTTCATTTAAAAACTTTCCAGTAATTTAGACTGTTTTAAATACAATAAATTTTTTAAAAAACAAGAGTTTGTTGTAAAATGTTGTCACAGTCGTTAACGTTGTCCTTTTTATCAGTTTATAAACAAATATTTGTTTAAAAACCCTGGAATTCGGTGAAAAGTGAAAAATTTGGGAAAAAAACTTAAACAACGATTATTTTAAATTTTGAACATGATCCCGATATTTTACAATTTTCATTTACCAAAAAGCCCAGGACAACGTTTTGCAACTAACTCTGTTTTCTAAAACTTAGTTATTTTTGTATGATTTATCCAACTTTTATTATTAATTTGAATCTTGACTTTATTTTTTTCATGTTTTTAAAAAAACATAAAAATAAAATATTCATCTTTATATATCAAAAATGGTCCATCTTGAAAGGTTTTTTCTAACAAATGTCGCAATTTATTTAAACGAAATTACTTCACTTCTTCCGTTTATGCTTGTTTCAAAGACGTGTTGTTCTGCTCTTCAGTCGTTGTATATCAACCCGTCATTCAAAGTTATTACACCTTCTGATGTCACCGACCTTCCAGGCCGTTCAGTTGGTTGCTTTATGGAGCAACTTCTTCACCACGTGTCATCATTTGTTAAGTATTTTCCAAAGCTACAGACCCTTCACATTCCTTCACTATTTTATCACATTCCACATAACATTTTTCAAAAAGTTACTTTGATAGAAACTGATAGACTGCATTGTAACACCGAACATTGTTTATATTCATATATTACAAGAGAATTTGGAAATGTTTATACAATTAGAAAATATTATAATGAAAAATTAGAAAAGGGGTGTGCTGGAGATATCATGTTTGAACACGACGGAGTATTTATTGAAAAATTGAAGACACTTTCAGTCACCGATTCTTATACTTTTGATTATATATTTACAGGTAAAAAGAATTTTGAAAAACTTGAGTGGATCTATTTTGACTTGACTCAAATAGATGTTACAGAGTATAAAAAAGTCATCAAAAATCTATTTGCTCTTAAACAAATAGAAGTTACTTGTAACTTGGAAGATGCCAAAGACGTTTATGTAAATATTCCCAACGTTCGATGGGTGTTTTACATCAAAGAATGTGAAGATAAAAATTATGAAGAAGAAACCAAAATCGAAATTTTCAATTTTATAAAAACAGTAGGAAAACTGGTGTTGGACTTTAAAGAGAATTTTGCTGTGAATGGCGCAATTTTTGAGAATATAGAAAATGCCGAAATTGTCGATAAAAATTATTTAAAATATTCAGAAATGTTTAAACAATATCAGATGTATCCCACAGAAGCAGTTGTTAGTACTACAAATTCTATGAATACAATTCAATTTAATTGTATTCAAAAAGTAGATTCAAAAGTGGATAAACATAACATAAATAAAGATGTCATAGATCTTCATGGATGCCCACTTACATACATCACCGTTGATACAAATAAATGTGTTGATGTCGCAGCAAGTGTGAAAAAGGTGAAAACATCACAACGAGTAATTAATTTATACTCAACCACTCAAACAACAATAGAAGTGTGTTTTAAAGATGTTGAAAAAAAGCAAAAAAGTGGAAATGTTGAGTATACACCACTATCTGTGATAGTGAACGTTACGGGTAAAACTACAGTCGACATTGATAAAATTTGTTTAAAAGATTACACAACAGTAAAAGCAGTTGTAGTTCGAGGGGTCTCTGATTTCAATTTTGATATTTTTGAGATGTTAGATGAGCTGACAGTAACAGTAACAGAACCACTAGATATTTCCGAGTCAAATGACAATTCAATTTTATTGAGTAATGATGATCAAGATGATAATAATAATAAAACACATAAAAATCAACGTGTCAGCGGAAATTTACACGAAAGTGATAAAGACTATTATAACGATATAAAAATTGCAATTGATCTTTCAAATTTACACATCAAAAAACTCACATTAATTTCATGTAATGATTGTAACATCAAAATACCGACAACTACAACTTCTCTTTCTATTACAACAAGTTGTGGATGTTATATAACTTCATCTTCTTTTTGGTTTCTTGACAAATTTGATATCGACAAAGATTCAAAGTGTATTTATTGTACCAACATCCGATATAATCACAAACTGGCTGTCTATAATTACGACTGGCGGTATATGTGTATCGAGTGTGATGAATATCGTGTATTCACTGATGTACCAAATGACGGTGTTGTATTGACAAGGTTGTATGAAAATCGTGATTATCATGATTACCCGACATGTCATGCCACAGAGCTTGGAACGATGTTTCTTAGTGCAAATACAGAACACGACTGTAACTCTTGGTATTGCGTGACAACTCAAATTAAAAATATCCAACACGGTGCATTTAAAAATTGGAAACAAGGCAGATGTGTTGTGTTCAAAGCGCCACTTTTGAAGATCCCCAATGAATGTTTTACAAACAGCGAAAATATTAAGGAAATAGTTCTTCCACCGACTATTCAAACACTCGGAAGAAGAGCTTTTTACAACTGTAAAAGTCTCAAAACTATTAATATTCCAAGCAATGTCAAATGTCTTGGAAACAAACTCTTTTGTGGGTGTTCAAGTTTGTCGTACATCCAACTTCCAAGTAAAATCACAAAACTTGAAAAAATGTGTTTTAAAAATTGCAGAAATTTAAAAATCGTCGAGACACAAAACAAAATTATGGTATTGGGTGAAGACTGCTTTGTCGGGTGCGAATCTCTAAAACTTGATTTCTCATTTATAATGGAAAAATTTTCACCAATCGAATTATCAAAATGCCACTTCAAAAATTGTAAGTGGTTGACTTCATTTGACATTCCATCGTCTGTGACACACATTGGAGATGACTGTTTCTTTGGATGCACCGGGTTAACAGAAATGACTATTCCCTACACAGTAATTTCCATGGGAAGTCGTGTATTCAACGAGTGTAGTAATTTAAAAACATTGTACGTTTCTGATGAAATACAGATGGCTAAACACTGGTTTAATGGATTAAATAACATCGAAACTCTTCATTTACCATTGTGTGTTGATAAACTGTGTGACTTCAGATTTTTTAATATGAAAATGTTGAAATCAGTAAATCTTCCAACCACGTTGGAAACCGTTGGAATTGGATGCTTTAAAGGATGTGTATCACTCACAACAATAACAATACCTGACGGTGTCTCTTATATTCCAACTTCGTGTTTTGAGGGATGTGGGTTGGTTAAATTAGTATGTAAGGCGAAGCGATTTGGTAACAAATGTTTTTACGACTGTGAAGATTTGGAAGAAGTTTTTACAGAGGCAGATACCGTTGGTGACGAAGCCTTCATGAATTGTATAAATCTCGTTAAATTTATTAATAACAGAAATTTGTCTGTTGGAAAAGGGTGTTTTAAAAACTGTGGGAAACTTAAAAAATTTGTTGGTAAAATAAAAAAGGTGTCAGTTGGTTGTTTCATGTTTTGTTCAAGTCTGAAATCGTTGGAAATAGAAGAAGATGCAACTTTGGATAGATCATGTTTTTATTATTGTAAAACGTTAAACATTAATACAAATTGGAAAAACATTGAAATCGCTTACTCTTTCAATGATAATTAATCGACTGTTTGTTTGAAATTTATCTGATGTTTACATTGTGGGATATATTACCAAATAGCAGTTTAAATATTCATAAAATAATACTAACTTTATTACAAAAGTAAAATATTTTTAAAACCATCTTATATTATATTATATACATTAAATGACGTTGTTATAAGTATAGACTAGTAATGTTAATAAAAATCTGATAAATAAATTGTGTAAAAAGATAGAAATGGCAAATATTAAATCACTATTTGTAATAACCATTTATTACAGAATTATTTGATAATATGATATTTTT